CAGGATTCTAATCCAGGTCCTTTGACTCCAGTGCCTGGACACCTACTTCAGTGTGCTACCACCCTCATTTAGAGAAAAGCTTGACTCTACAGCTACAAAGTAAAGAAAGGACTGGTTATGTCAAGACCAGAATTAGAAAGACCAGCTGAGCAGCTATATGATAATTCAGGGAACATACAATGGAGGCCCAGATCAGTAAGGCATTGCCAATGAAAAGAATTAATTTGAGAGATCCTTAAGGGGTAGAATCAAAGGCCTTGTTTTGGATTTCATAGCATGTAAAAAGCAAAGGGGGGTGAGCCAAGAATGACTCCCAGGTTTCTGGCTTGAGCAACAGGGTCAATGCCTTCAGTTCTTCTTTATTAATTTTCCAGTTTTTTAACAGTAAGTATGTTCTGTTTTTACAGTTAAAAAACTATTATCTATTTTTAATAAAAAATGAGCCAGTGTTGAGAAAATCAAGTCATCAAGCTATTTCTGCAAGTTGATGGTAAATAGAAAGAAAACAACTGAACCACGTTTTTTTATCCCTCTTTCAAGCCAGGCTCTGCCAGAGAATGGAACCACAATTTGAAAGGACAGATAGTTTGAACGTGATGTTTTGTTTTGTGTTTTAAAGATTAGAGAAATCAAGGAGAAACTAGTAAATGCAGGAATCAGAAAAATAAAACAGGCTTACAGAAAGAAAGTCCTTTATATATACATATTTTCTTCATTTAAACAGAACTCACTGTAGAGCCAAGGATATCAGGGAGAAATCTTAATAGAAAAAAAAAAAAAACCCTACAAAGAATAATTTATTTTTTTATTTTTAAATTTTTTTAGCATTTGAAAAACTGTAAGCTTATTACACAGTGGAAAGAACATGAGCACTGGAATCTGGAATCCAAAAGACTTGAGTTTAAAGTTCCTCTGCTCCGCAGCAGTATGACCCTGGGAAAGTTGCTAAATGGAGCCAGGCTCCACAGGCACAGCATAAGGCAAACTACCACTTGGCTTAGGTAGGAGAATTATGGGGTATGTATGAATTGTGAAAGAGGCAGCTAAGAGTCTAGGTCTCCATCACCAGATTGATTCAGTAGGTCTGAGCTCGGACCTTAGTATCTGTATTTTTAAAAAGCTCTGTGGTTGATTCTACTGCATGGGCAAGGTAAAGAAATGTGCATAACTCAATACCTGGCACACAGTAAGTACTTGGTAAGTGTTAGATGGTTGTTTTCAGGAACAAAACAGGGCTTCTATCCTTCTTCATTAAGGCTATCATGACTTTTTTCACTAAACACAACAAAAAGATCTATCCTAAATGAGCAGCTCAGATTTTGTGCTGAAGGAAAAGAGGCGAGGTGGGCAGTGACTAAAAGGAACAAAAAAACAATATGAATTCCCTTTACGGTCTAAAGCGGTACCATGGCATTTGAAAATTCAACATGAAGAGACATTAAAGGTCTCTGACATGCGGTCATGTATACTTCTCCTGAGGCAAATTTGAAAAACTTCTGCTTCGTGATGTGCAGGTCACCAGGTCACTCAGGTGATCTGGGTGCTTACCCACTCTTCGGTGTACAAGTCTCATTTAGGTTCTGTTGCACTTTATCACCCTAAATAGATTTTTTTAAATGTTCCTTGTAAAATGGCCTCAAAAGAAAGTCAATTGCTAATCTATAAAAATATTTCCAAAATTGGGGAAATAGAGATGGTCTCAGAAAATATTCTAGCAAATGTCAAAAGTCTACTGTACAGCCACATCTTATTTAACATAACAGAAAGGTCTTATCCAATTTCATAAATAGTTTCCAGCAATAAAAGGCTGTGTGAAAAGGTCAGAGTGCATGACATATAATGCACCCAATATTTCAATAATTTGTCTGCCTTTCTTCCTTCCCTCCTAAAACATGCTGGCTATTCAAAAGGGTAACTGAAATGCCACCCTGGGAGAGGCTTGCTGACTATTATAAATGCAATGTGAGCCACAGAGAGAGATTTCTGTGGGCCTCTTTAGTCCTCTACTGTAGGCAACAAACAGACTGGATTGTTTGCTAGTTTTGCACTAAGCAAAAGTCCATGAAATAAAAATAGTCTAATAATGCTGTTGAAGACTGAGCTGTCTACGATTGGTATACTGCTTTTATTTCCTAGGTAGCTATCAACTTTCTCAGAGTAAATCAGAACTATTGCAGACAAACATGAGAGTCCACAAGCAGGACTATTAGACACTATATAAGTAATCTGCGTGTTAAGTCAGCAATTCTCTCTCCCTGAATACAAACTGAAGAATTTTGTTGAGGTGTGCTGATCGAAATTACCTAGTGGGAATTTAATTTTTATTTAGTGGTTAACCCTGTATGCCCCGAGAGTAATAGTGGAAAGATTACATCCTTCATTCCTTTATATTTAGAATCTAAGCATATGAGCTAAATATGGATTGAAACATAAACTGCTTTGAATTCAAAAACAAGTATTTCAAACCCAAAACTCAAATCTATATGATGATCTCAAGTCTTAATACATGAGCTTAAAGATCAGAAAGCCAGGCCGGGCCCCCTTCTGAGTCTTAGATTCCTGTTCTAAAAGGGAAGTCTGGACTAGATGACCTCTAAGATCCTCCTCAGCTCCGATCACCAATTAAACTTTTTCTCTCTCTATTCACTTGAACTCCTCAGAAGCAAGAGTGGCCCGCAACTCCCCAACTGATGTCTCCTTGGCTTCTGCCTGCTCTGCTCCTCCAGCATCTCAGGCAGCATCACAAGCACCTGCCTTGTGACTACCATCTCTCTGTGTTCTGGACATTTAGCCTCTTTTTAAATTCTTTTATTAAACTCTTAAAGAAAATATTCCAGCTCACTAATGTTACAAAGGTACTTAATAATCTGGAGATTTTTTTAACTAAAATCATACTATAAATATAAGCAGCAAGTAGTTACAGTAGAAAGAACATGAGCTATTCAGTTAGACAAACTGTATTCCAATAATTTTGATGAGGTTCTTTATCTCAACTTCTGCTTCAGTTTTGCACAATGAGATAAATATTTAAAACTACCACACACAGCTGTTATGAAGATTAACTGATCATGGGCATATAAAACACATAGCATAATGCCAGGTACCTAGTAAATGCTCAGTTAATGTTAGCTGCTATACTATTATAATTATCCTCATCATATTTTTTATTTTTATTATTATAGTATACAAGTCCCATTCTATGCTTCTAACAAATAAATCATCTAACTGTAGTTTTCTAACTGAAGCAAATGGAATCATCTGTATTTCTTTTACTGATATAGGAGAAATGTTGGGTGACCAACTGCCCAGACCAGCTGGCAGGAAAAATTACATATTGTGGCTATTGACTAGTGCTTGAAGTGATGACTAAGTAACACCCATTCACCAAGTTATAACTCAGTTTGCTACTAAAATATTTTCCAGGTTTCAAAACAGAGAGCACTAGAGATTGTTCTATGATGTTAGAAATACCTTTAAAGAATTCATTAAATACTTTAAAATAGAAAAACATTGTTGAATGAGAAGGGTGAGTCTAAGTTACATGCCACAGTAAATGGTATCAAATTAAAAAAAAAAAGCATCACTACTTTGATGTCTTCGTGCCTCTCCACCCCACTCCACAGGCATGAAGAACTGTATTCTCCATGAACTTCTATGGGTAGACAGGCACTCATAGACATATGAATGTCAAGCTCACAAGTTCATGTTATATTAGTTGTAATCATAGAATATAAAAAACAAGCCAAACTAATACAGATTACATTTTTGGTTTACCATATCATGTGATTTTGAATTGATTGTGAACCTTTCTTTAAATCACGGGTACTTGGTTATAAATGTTGTCTTGACAAGTCATACTTTTTATCTTAAAGTACATTAAATACTAAAAGAACAACAGTGATGCTATATAGGGAAAGAAGAATTTTATATCTCTTCTTACATAATGGTTCAAGACTTTTCATGTTATGCACAGCGTTTTATGAAAATATATCGGTTACCAGATGAAGGTGATAATTTGTCACAGAGATCACCATTATATAATATGGCTTACTAGAAATCAGAGTGAAAGCAGAAACATGCAAACACAATTCTTCTATTATGTGACTGTGGGCTTATGTTTCCCAATAGTTACCTTTTCTTCATATGTGTGTTATTTGGGTGTACAAATGTGTATAAATATATAAACATGCAAATATGCAGAGCTACAGTTAAAAAGTACAATTGGTTTTTGTTTACATCAAAATGTAAGCATTTAAATGGGTGTGATATCATCAATGGAATCACTTTCTGCTCATATATGCCCCTGAATAGACACAGCTTGAAAAGAAGTGTGATATGAACCAGAAATTAGGAAGCAGAAGAAGGAGGTTCTATTCCTGACTCACATGACCTGTGGAAATGTACTTACCACACTGGATGCCAGTCTTGCCTTCTTACCAACCAGTTGCTGGGTGGAGTGAGTGAAATAATTAAAATAAAATGATTTTTCAGATTGTTATAGCTTAAAATAATAAGAGAATGATATATTCTCAAATCCTAAGAGCCAAACATATAGTTCGTTTAAATGGTAAGATTTTTTTTTATTTGTTTTTCATGAATACTGGAGGAATGAATTAAGTGATAAGATACTTTTAAGACACTTTTGAGAAATATTCTAACATGAAATTATAGCCTAACTCTATATGTAAATACACACACACACACGCGCGCGTTTTTATATATGTGTGTGTTTTTATATGTGTATCTATCTGTCTATGTAATATAGAGTTATGTTGGTTCCAAAAAAGGGAAAATAATTTCTTACAGATATCTCTTTTAAATCTCTAAAGAATACACAGCAAAACATTTTAGTACATAGGTCAACTTGGAACAAAAATACCTAGTAGTCAATTTGAGATAAAGTGTTAAAAATCCTTTATAAACTCTAAAAGGCTATATATAGAGTTTAGCATTTTTTTGCCACTTGTATAAAAAAGACACATTTTGAGATGGGGGCTTACCTTCTCTTAGACGGTCTACCACAAAAGTAAAGCCTGTAGTTCTTGGATGTAAAACATATTCATATTTCTGAAGTCCATTCTTTTCAGCAAACTCATTACTTCGAGCCTTGCTATTTTCTATAAAAAAAAAATGGGCCATTAGAAATCATAAACTAAAGGGAAATACGTGAGGTAGGAAAGAAGTGCAGAAGTTCATTGATAAAAATAGCAGTTAATTGTTCTATAATTACTGAATACTGAGTCAAATGAGAAGATACAAACGTTGCAGATGGTTCGCTATCAAGATCCCAGACCTACTTATATAACCAGACCCAGGTTTGGCTATTTCCTGCTCTAAAGCCAAACAAAAGAGGCAAAGTTTGCTGGGAGGGAAAGCAGGTTTTAATCAGAGAGCCAGTAAACTGAGAAGATGGAGAACTAGTGTTCTATAATACCATCTGAAGTTTCCAAATTTATCATAGAGTTTTTAAAAGAAAACTTGGTATGAGAGACGTGGGAATGGTACAAGGTCTGTGTGTCTTGGTCTGATAGCTATCTTGCGTAACTGGTCATCTAGAGATCCACTTGGCATTATTTTGACTTCAGCCTGGTGGTAGGGGACTAATTGTTCACGACTTCGCCAAAGTGGGAGGATTCCACAGGGGCTCCATGCCTAGTTTATTTCAAAATTAGCCCTTGGAATTTCTAAGCAAGCATACAGTAGATAAGCATACATGGTGCAAGGAAGTGTCTAGTGGAAAAGGGGGGAAAACAGAGTGTGAAGTACATTTCAAGGCTATATTCTAAGAATAAAGAAAAAAAGTTTTAAAATGCAATTCAAAGCTGAGATGCTCCATTACACTTACAGGAATTAAAAAAATTATAACAAAGGTATAAATAGATTTTTATATATTTTCTGAAATCCATATTCAAATCTTTTAACTTCTTTAAAAGATTTCATAAAAGTCAACATTCAATGAAAATTAAAATACTAATAAACTAATTTTTTTGTAAAATAATCCCTATATAACAAAACTGAAATATTAAAATATAAAATGCTAATAAAACAAAACTAAGACACTAATAAAATATAATGACCTAGACATCCAGAAAAAATAACTAGCAATCAAATATATCAGATCAACATTTTTTAAAACCCGGTAATTTTGGACTTCAATGTAAACTGAAATATCTGCCTTGCTCAGGCACAGAGTATGCTAATATTACTAACCCAAACCACTCCGTAACAGAATGGGCACATGATTAGCACATCATGTACAAACATCTGAGCATGGTTTGGCTGAATATAGTTACAGAGTCAAGTATATGTTCCAATTGTTGGCAAAAACTTATTTTTCCATTCCATGAGGTAACTTTACAAGTTCCAAGAAGAACCAAACCCATTATTCAGCAAATACATTTGGAAAAAGTAGTGTTCAGAAATTTGGCCTCAACTGCTGGGAGAGATCATGAAATACTTTCTGATGACAGCAGATGTTAGAACCCACAATCTTCAGTTGCATTCCGAAATTTATAAACTATTATTCCAAATCACAAGAAAAACACCTACATAGATACAACTTTACTAGGAGTAAATTTAAGATCACTGAGTCCTCAAAACCTCCAAAAACCATACATGCCTTCTACAACACTGAACTATTCAAATAACACTGCTGTAGACCGTGTTACATCATTTTATGATGGAAGAATAGTCAGGCAAGTCAAAAGTAAAGGCCCTACACATGAAAAGTAATAAGTTCCTCTCATATTCCTTTCAGGATATCCTGGATATGGGGCTACAAAACATTATTTATATTATAGACAATTGACAGGACCTTAAATGGGATTAGGAATCCCAGAGACACCACAAAGATGAGTAGTAACTACTCTTTAGTTTGATCTTCCAGTTTATAAAACTCTGGGGATTCTGAAATCAAAACTGAACTGTTGCAGAATGTGAGAACAAGAACAAACAGTTCTAAAACAAACAGCCACAATGTGGGAAGGTAAGAATGATCAGAAATACAGAGAGATTAGAGATGCAGACTTTTCCATCTACCCCTCGACTTCATCTACCCATCCCAGACTGTTATGCTAGTAAGTGCACTAGCATCCCACTTTCTGACCACAGCCTCCTGTCTTGTCACATCAGTCCCTGTAACACTCCCACTCCTGCACTCCTCCCACCCATGAGACTACTAGCAGCTGTTCTCAAACCAGCTGGGCGTGTTCCCACCTCAGGATCCATGCAGTTGCTGCTCCTCCCATCACCCAGAATGCCTTTCACCTATACAGCTGCATGCTTTTCTGCTTTGTTCAGTTAGTCCCTACTTAAATAGAAACTTAACAGAGAGGCTTTCCCTAACCACCTTAAAGAAAATAACACTCTACACCCCTTCTATGACTATCTCCTGATCCTTATTTTTCAACATAGCCCTTGTGACTACCTGACATATTTTTATTAACTTATTAGTTTATCATCTGTCTTTCCTCATAGAATGTAAACTTCATAAAAGTAGGGATAAAGATCTAGGCACTCATATATTTATTAAAAAAAATAAGTTTGGCCAGGCACGGTGGTTCATGTTTGTAATCCCAGCACTCTGGGAGGCTGATGGGCGGATCACAAGGGTCAGGAGTTTGAGACCAGCCTGGCCAATATGGTGAAACTCCATCTCTACTAAAAATACAAAAATTAGCCAGTCATGGTGGTGCACACCTGTAGTCCCAGCTACTCCGAAGGCTGAGGCAAAAGAATTGCTTGAACCTGGGAGGCAGAGGTTGCAGTAAGCCAAGATCATATCACTATACTCTAGCCTGGGTAACAGAGTGAGACTCCATCTCAAAAAAAAAAAAAGTTTTATGTATATGGGTAAGTTATATGCAATAATATAATTGTTAGATTATTTCCAAATCAGGAAAATGGAACTCGAAATTATCGTATACTAATTGTTATGGCTAATTTTATATGTCAACTTGAATAGGCCATGACATTCAGGTTTCTAGACAAATATTATTCTAGATGCTTCTGGGAAGGTATTTTTTAGAAGAAACTAATATTTAAATTAGTACACTGAGTACAGCAGATGGCCCTCCATAATGGGAGTGGGCCCCATCAAATCAGGTAATGAAAGCCTTAACAGAAAAAGACAGGGGTCCCCTCCTCTCCCAACAAGAATTCTACCTCTAGACTGCCTTTGGGCTTGAACCACAACTACTTCCTGGAATCTCCACTCTGCCAACCTACCCTACAGATTCTGGACTTACCAAGCCTCACAACTCTAAGAGTCAATTTCTTCAAATAAATCTCAACCTCTTCTATATATACACATCCTACAGATTCTCCTTCTCTAGAGAACCCCAACTAATACACCAATAAAATACTGAACTCCCTAACCTTTAAAACACATTTTTAAAGAATAAAGAATAAATATATATGGGTGCCCATATGTCTGTGTGTGACCAAATGACTAAAAATAAATGGAAATTAAACAGTGTTGACTTATAGACAGTGGCAAGTTTTGTGCATACTGCTCTTTGCAAATTTCTCCAAATTAGCATCTATCATTAAAAAGTTATAACCAACAATATAAAGATAGAATATATGTAACATTAGATTTAAATACACTGATTTGAAAATGTACATGCAAGCTAGATTCAGAACTTAAATTATAAAACAGTCTCACTGGGCTAAAAAAAACCCAGTTTAAAGTTAAGTATGGTAGTAACTAACACGTTTTAATTAACAGATACTTTTTCCAAACTGGAGATATTTTGTTAGCCTACTATTAAAAATGATTTTTTTGCCAACTCAGTGAATTATCTGTATTATACTATTAAAAAATGTTCAAAAGCTTCAGGATCAGTGTATTTTTTTCTCCTTGGCAAAGTCTGGCTTTAAAGGTAAATACCATTTGAATTTAAAATATATATGCAGCTATATCATGTAATGGTGAGCACTCTGGACTCCAAAAAGCATACAAATAGATGTAGAGTTCAACACCTATAAAAAGAAACCTGAAGGCTAGCTGTGGTGGCTCACACCTGTAATCCTAGCACTTTGGGAGGCAGAGGCAGGTGAATCACCTTAGGTTGGGAGTTTGAGACCAGCCTGACCAACATGGAGAAATCCCATCTCTATGAAAAATACCAAATTAGCCAGGCATGGTGGTGCATGCCTATAATCAATCCCAGCTACTCAGGATGCTGAGGCAGGAGACTTGCTTGAACCCAGGAGGTGGAGGTTGTGGTGAGCTGATATTGCACCATTGTACTTCAGCCTGGGCAACAAGAGTGAAAACTCTGATGAAAAATATTTTATATACATATTTTATTACTCTGAAGGTCTAATGTATGAACATATTAACATTAATGTAGCAGTAACATATGACCTTTTTTCCATTACTTTTTATTTACCAAATAACTCCCAAAGTTGGCATTCTTTGATGTACATTTTTGCATTCACAAAAATGAATCTATCATTTCAGTAAATAGGTTTCTATACTCTATATTTATTAAATAAAGCTGATATTTCAATATCCAAATTTAAGTATTATACATTCTAAATATTATAAAATTTAAATATGGCTGCCTGTCCCGTATAATTTCCTAATGATAATTTAGTTCTGGGAATCAACCAATAATATATTTGCAAGCTTCAACAACAAGCAGCCATTTTATTCTCTGTATTATCCTCTGTGATCCAAAGACTTTTAGAATCTCAATCATAAAAAATAAAATATATACTACAGAGTTGGCATATATTTTAGAGCTCTGACTGCTGTATAAAAAGGGCCACAGTTCACTTAGCTCAGTTGCATCTGCAATAGATGTGTCAAAGATCTCTTCCTTGTTACCTATAGTAAATCCAAAATACCTGAATTTCCCTTAACAACTAATTATGGCTCAGTCACCTATTCACTTACTTAAATACGTGTGTAATGTCTATTTTTCATCTTGAATTCTCTTTTGTAGTAATGAGTTCCATAAATTACGTCCACAGTGTGAATAGTATGTTCATTTACCTGTTCTCCTCTCTTAAATTCAGAGTTGCCCTTCTTAGTCTTTTACCAAAAATTTGAAAGGTAAGTTCATGTTCTACCTCTCCATATTACTTGAGATTTTAGATTTCAGTTCTCTCCTGCTTTAGCCTATCTTCCCTTAGACAGCAGAGCTGTAAGATCCACTGAATCCTTCTCAAATTCTGTTCTATCTTCTTGAAGTTATCTATCTGGACTATTAAATGTAAATTTTAGTCTTTTGAGTCCAAAGATTCTACGGAAGTACTTCCTGTCTAAGCTCTGCCCCCACTGTCACCCCTCTCAGTATCAACCAGAGCAGTTCTGCTTGTATCTTATCATCTTATATTCTTGATAGAAGGCTTCATATACAAAAATAATAAAAAATGTGAAAACTATTGCTTTAGCAAGGATGACAGACTGTTTAGCATTTTGTTTTTAGTCTTTGTAAGACTTTTTTGAAATCCATTGGCAATTCCTGGCCTATATGGTTTATATCTGGTAGCCAGGTGTCATGGTAGTTTCTGGTGTAGTCCCAGATACTATAGACTTGAGCCCAGGAGTTCAAGGCCGCAGTGAACCATGATTATACCAATGAACTCCAGCCTAGGGGACAGGCTCATAAAAGAAAAAGAAAAGAAGTTTAATATTTAGGAAGGCAGACAAGTTATAAATATGTCTTCCTGTGTCCTCACTACAACTCAATGATGGCTGAATTTTCTTGAAGAAGGGCAAAGCTTTCCCTAACTGTAGCAAGGATAGGGTTTAAATATCAGGAGAAAGGTAACTTATTAAGGTAAATCAACAATAACTGAAATTAGTAACTTAACAGATCTTTTTCTTATGAGGAAGAAGTTGAGGAGTAGAAAGGATCTGATGGATAAATAAATACCTTAGAAAAGGATAAGAGAATATGAACAACAGGTAGGAGAGGATCAACATTACCTAAAACATGATTTTAAAACCATGCTTACATAAAGATAAAAGCCTGATATTTAAAAATATATACTGAGGTTTAACATAAAGTACTAAGATGGCAAGTATGAATAATATGACCGCTTGGAGTTGCCTACTATAAATTCAATGGGCTGGAAACAAAGAGTTATTGATTAACTGAGTGACCGACCTTAGGAGTGTGCCATTCATCTTTTTTTTTTTTTTTTTTGAGACGAAGTCTAACTATGTAGCTCAGGCTGGTCTCAAACTCCTGGACTCAGTCTGTCTTCTAGCTTCAGCCTTCTGAGTAGCTAGGATTCCAGATATGGGCCACTATACCTATAAGAGCTCTTATTCTTGTTGGTGTTCCGTTACTTCATCTGAGAAATGAGAAGTTTAGACTAGATGAGTTCTAACTTTGCCAAACCCAGGCTACCTTACCTGTGAGATCAGTTCCTTCTGGGAATATGAGGAGTTGAAGTGGTTCATGGATATCACAAAAGTAATCAATCATGTCTTCAAAATGGCTCTTGTCATCCTTCCATTTCCTATGAATGAAGATATAGGCAGCAGCCTGCATGGCCCAACCTAGAATCAATTTAACAAGTATTTACATACAATTTTCTTGCCAATATCCACATATTAATAAATATAATATTTTAGTTTTCTGGTTTTACTATAAATTATTTACTATCATAAACATCTCACGATATACCATAAATTCAGCACTGATCTTGGGTTAAATAACATACAAACACACACACACACACACACACACACACACAGAGAGAGAGAATACACTCAAAGCAATTTGGTAATCCTGAGGTTTGCAAAATTCTCAAAATTATCTTTTCAAGCCAAAACTAGCTATTAAAATTTAAGAAAAAAAATTTCCTTAGTATTTATAACAAACTTATCCCAAATTTTAACAATCCTAACTAAACAGGTATTTTAACTAAGATACCTACAAAAGGTAAAAGAACACATGTTGCCAGCTTACAAAGCAGTAAGTAAAGGACTGTTGTCAAGTATATAAGAAGCATTCTCTTTAATGTTTTCCTTCTGATACTACTCAGCCTCTAAATGCAACTGCTATTTTCACTATTAGCCACTTTCTATTTCATTGAAAAGACTAGGAAAATTGTGAATGTTACTAGACCCATTAATCAGAGTGTACACTGTGACTACATTCCTTTTCTCTAGGGCAAATTCACCCTTGCTCCTTGAAGAGGGAGCCCTAAGCGTGCGATGTTTCAGATGACCAGCCATCTCTCCCTGGCCACAATAACTAGAACTACTACGGTAGATACCTAACTGAGGCAGCCAATCCAAGTCTGTCCCATAGCCCACAGAGCATGAAAAGATTGAGCAAACACAGTAAATATCTAGGCCGACCAAGTGTTCCCCCTCAGAAATTTCACCTAGGACCACAGAGAACCCAGACAAGTTGGTAGGATACAGTCAAATGGACAGACCAACAAGCAGAGGGGCTAAGGCAGGATAAAAATAGCATATAATTGGCCAGGAGCGGTGGCTCATGCCTGTAATCCCAGCACTTTGGGAGGCCAAGGAAGGTGAATCACCTGAGGTCAGGAGTTTGAGACCAGCCTGGCCAACATGGTGAAGCCCCATCTCCACTAAAAATACAAAAAATTAGCCAGGAATGGTGGTGGGTGCCTGTAATCCCAGCTACTCAGGAGGCTGAGGCAGGAGAATCACTTGAACCCGGGAGGCAAAGGTTGTAATGAGCCCAGATCGTGCCACTCCACTCTAGCCTGGGCAACAAGAGCAAAACTCCATCTCAAAAAAAAAAAGCATGTGAGAGTGAAGGGCAAAAGCTCCAGATGTTGGGAGACAGTTTTAATCTCCGCAAGTCCTGGCCAGTCTATGGATTTACCTCTTGGCTATCCATGAGAATTCACCTCTCTTCCTGCCATGCAGGAGTAGAGGAATAATAAATTCTCATTATTTCAGCTGGTGTTCCCTGCAAACAAAGAACCAACTAAGACAACAGCTATCATCATTTGGTAAATACAGAAGTACCCTGAGAATACATAAAAATAATCATTAAATTATTTACCAATGATTAAACACACAGCTAGGCATGGTGGATCATGCCTGTAATCCCAACATGTTGGAAGGCTGAGGCAGGTGGATTACCTAAGGTCAGGAGTTCAAGACCAGTCTGGCCAACATGATGAAACCCCGTCTCTACAAAAATTAGCTGGGCATGATGATGGTAGCTGCCTGTAATTCCAGTTACTCAGGAGGCTGAGGTGGGAGAATCACTTGAACCGGGAGGTGGAGACTGCAGTGATGAGACTGCACCACTGCACTCCAGCCACACAACAACACAGCTGGGTGGCAGAGCAAGACTCCGTCTCAAAAAAATTAAAAATAAAGTAAATAATACACACACACACACACACACACACACACTTTATTTGGCTTGGGTAAGTCCAAACTAGAATACTGCATTTCACAGATATAAACAAGCATGTACAAAAAAAATCACTTCAGTGTATAGGTCTTACTGAGAAGCATCCAGTTAATAGTCACTATAACGTCAGTCTCATCCACCAGTATTGGACGTGACCCCACACTGCCCCTCCCACACATCTGTCCTTCATCAAAGGACACCTAGGCCAACAGAGTAATGTGTGAAAGCAGTATACCTCTGGAGTGAAACCACCACAAGCCAGCTATTCATCCTTCAGATCCAAATATAAAATGAGCACAATGCAACAGTATTTACCTGAGGGGGACTAGCGTGAGAAACAAATAAGATTCTTTAGCACAGAGCATTCAACCAGTAGGTATTATTGTTGTAATTAACAAGTTACAATAATATCAAGAATATTATATCGAGGATTGTAAAGTGTAACAAAAGAGTTCCTATTCACAACACTAAACAAAAATGTGCAGAAATAAACCTAATTAACTTGCAGGAGCCACATGAAAACAATTACTTCACTAGAAAGAGATGGAGAGACTATACAATGTTTTTGAACTGAACCAGTGATGCCAACGGTCTCCAATGAAAATATCAATAGCCTGAGGGGGTATGAGAATTTGGCTATCTGACAAAGTCAAAAATTAAATACGGCTATAGATGATCTATAATAATAAAAAGGTGAGAATATTCAAGATAACTTTGCAATAGAATAATAAGCAGAAAAGACGTGAACCATCAAACAACTGTGTTATGAAGCAACGATGATTAAATCAAAAGTACATCTGCAGAAATGCCAGATGTGGGTGAAGGGGAGGAAGGCAGCAAATCACACTGCCACGTGTGTACCTATGCCACTATCTTGCATGTTCTGCACATGTACCCCAAAACCCAAAATGCAATAAAAAAAGAAAAAAAAACAAACAAACAAAAGTACACCAGCAAAAATAGGTGAATGGAAAAGAATGCAAGACTTAGATAAAAGTCCTTGAATATGTTAAAAATTTGGTATATAATAATGACAGAATTTCAGATAAGTGGGTAATGAATGAGTTGGTTTTTAAAACATTTTTATAGAGATATAACTTAAAGTGAAGTGTGCAGACAGTAATTATATAGGTACAGAGCTTAATAAATTATCTCATATACATATGTCTGGCTATCACCCTATTAAGATAATTGAACATTTCTAAAATCCCCAAATGTTTCCATGTGTCCCATTCCCAGTCAATACTTCTCCTCCCAAAAGGAAACCACTGCTCCAACTCCTAATACCATAAATCATATAAGTAGAATCACACAGTATATATTCTTATATATTTTGCTTCTTATGCTCAATATTTTGTCTATGAGATTCATCTATGTTGTTGTGTGCCAGTATTTTCTTCTTTACAATGCCAGTATCAATATAATTGCTGGTGTCAATTATATATATCAATATACAGTGTTATTTATACTTTTGATGAAGATTCCTTGTCTACTAGGAATAAAGCTAATACAGATAACCTTGTACCTGTCTTTTGTTGAACATGAACACCCAATTCTATTGATAACCAGCAGTAAAACTGCTGCCTCATACGGGTTATGTCTGTTCAGCTTTAGTAGACAGCACCAGTTCTTCAAAGTGATTATACCAACTGACACTCCTACCAGAAATGTATGATCCTTCCAGTTGCTCTATCTGTATCTTCCCCAACACTTAGTCTTATGAGTTCTTTTCATTTTAGCCATTAGAATTCATGTGTAGTTCTTATTCGCATTTCCTGCATAGTTACGCTGAGCACTTTTTCATATTCAAATTAGTCATTCAGATTTCTTCTTTGTGAAATACCTCTTCAAACCTTTTGTTCATTTTAAAAATTGGTTTGTCTGTCTTTTTTTAGTAGCTTTTAAGATACAAAGTTCATCAGGTATAAACACACACACACACACACACACACACACATATATACATATACAGAATATAAATATATAATCCTCTCCATGTACTTGGTGTTTTCTGTATCCCACTTGAGGAATCTCTGCCTATCCGAAGCTCATTAGGACATTGTTCCATGTGTTTTTCTATTAGCTTTACTGTTTTAACTTCCACACTTTAGTTTATGATTGATCCATTTCAAATGAATTTTTGTGGATTATGTGAAGCAGAGGTTAAATATTTTGTTTTCTGAATGGATATTCAATTGGCCAGTAGCAATTATTTAAAAGGCCAATAGATTATTAATTTAAATAAAACATTTAAAAAGCATTATATAAGAAATACATGTACTGTAAAACAAAAAAGTCAAATAATACAAATATAAGTAGACTAAAACATGAAAATACTGCTTTATTACCACTTCCTTCAATCCTGTTCTACCAGTCATAATCTCTTTCTGGTAATCATTAAAAATTTGATGTGGACCTGGCACGGTGGCTCAAGCCTAAAATCCTAGCACTTTGAGAGGCCAAGGTGGGTGGATCACCTGAAGTCAGAAGTTTGAGACCAGCCTGGCCAACATGGTGAAACCTCATCTCTACTAAAAATACAAAAATTAGCTGAGCATGATAGCACACGCCTGTAATCCCAGCTACTTGAGAGGCTGAGGCAACAGAATCTCTTGAACCTGGGAGGCACAGGTTGCAATGAGCTGAGATTGTGCCACTGCACTCCAGCCTAGGTGATAAGAGCAAAACTCCATCTGAAAAAAAAATTGATATGAATTCTTCTACCCTTGAAAATGTTACATATGATTGGTGCTTTTAAAAAACATGTTAGTTCCAGTTAAGACTGGTCATTCATACACACACACACACACACTCACACTCATACCTTCTACACTGTCCTACAATGTGTTTAGTTATTTGACCATGTCTATACACATGGAACTACTTCATTTTATAAACAACTGCATTGTATTCTCTAGTAACAATTCTCAAACCAGTTTTCTTTTTAATTTTCCAAACTTGTATGAACTGAGTTTTTTGAAATACAATGAGTTATAATAATGTCACACATGGATGTCGTATCAATGTCATATTAGTTTCTAAATACTTATCCTATTTCTGTTCTTATCTTATTGTAGAATATTAACAGTTTGCTGACTGGCACTGTTGTACAAATCATACTTCAGTAGTGCTGCTCTACGGAAGAGAT